CACCCACCCACCCACCCACTTACTCACTCGCTCACTTACTCACCCACCCACTCACTCACACGCTCACTCACTCACTCGCTAACTCACTCACACACTCGCTCGCTCGCTCACCCACTCACTCACTCTTTCGCCCAAGCACTTGAGATTCTGTGCTGTGCTCTTTCGCCCTGAGATTCTCCTCAGGAGCAGGGACGTGGTACCAAAGCGCTGCGGGTGCAAGGAATAGCACTCCGCCTTTGTCCGAGAAGCGGTTTGGTCCAGGCTTTTGCTCGCGCCACGTACTCCTGCAACTGCGATTAATCAGCACACCTAGAATCGCTGGCCGCCCAGGCCAGAGGCGGCAGGCCCTAGCACACCCACACGCCGACACACCCACCGGCCGAACATCAGCGGATGTTTGGGGGGCTTCAAATCCAGTGCAACCCGAGTCGACGGATGGCTGCAGGCGTTGACTCGTAAATGGGAGGACAGGGGCCGAGCATCATGCGCATCAGCGGTTTTTTGGGAAAATTCAAATCCAGTCCAATCCAAGTCCAACGAAATAAAATTTCGTTGGACTGGTTAAAAGGTTTATGTCGATCAAAAAGATCGACTTCGGATCGTTTCAAGTCTACACCTGGTTCAAACGAGCAAACCAGGAGATGGGAAAGAAAACCTCTTCCAGGATCTATTCATCAACCTTGCATCCACCCAATTTAGTGCGACTTTTGCCGCGTCCACACAGGTGCTCAGGGACCCCTACATCCACCCATTTCAGTTCTACACCCAGCCACTTAAATCCAGGATGTAACCAAAAGCACATAAGCAAGGGGGATGTCTTCACAGCTCGGTAAGTTCATCTGTTCCCGTTGGAACTGAAAGCAAGAAGCGTTTGCATCTTCAAGATGCGTGTGTCCGCAACCCTTGACCGCTGCTCCGAGGCAATCGATGTCGTCGCGGCGATAAAAGGTGCAGTCTCTATCAACATTGGAACGCTGGATCCAACTTGGAGTCATGGCCTTTACAAGACTTTGGAATGTCGCACCCGATCTACCCTTCCCAAACCACATTGCCTGCACAGCAGGGGTGGCTAATTCCTGCCGGGCCTGGTTCTTCAATGCAAACGCTGCTTTAGCATCTGCGTTTCCTTGTCGTGAAATTGATTTCTCGCAAGGATAGAGTCCTTCAAGTTTGCAGCAAGGCCAGAGCTGTCTGTGTAGCAGGGATGCCAACGGAATGTACTGCCGATGCTGGCGATTCAGGACTTGTAAAGCCAAGGGCGTTCCGTGGGTCCTGGACCCGGTGGCTGCAGGATTCACACCTCTCAGGCTCGCCGCGGTGGGGGGCGGGCCGAAAGGCCATGGTAGTGAAAGCAGACACCAGCAGTGCCCAGCGTGAACCTGATGCAGGACTACCACGGCCACGGAGCTCTTAGACATCGGAGGGTGCAGCCGCGAACAGTTTACACGTTTGGTTCAGCGGGCTTCGGGCTGCACCTAGTGGCCTAGCGGCCTTGCAGCAAAGGGTTTTGCAGACAGGTATGCCCTCCAAGCAGCAGAAAACTCTGAACGGCTGTGCGAAATCTGCTCGACAGTCTGGGAGGTGCTCGGTGCTCCGTGGCAACGCCTCCGAGATCCTAGCCGTCGCTGGTGCAGTGGGAGACACCAAGGGTGTGGACTCCTCACAAGGCGGTGGTCCTTCACCACAGCATCTGAAAGGTTCCGTCCTGCCGGCAGGCTCGGGTGCCGCTCTGAAGGCTGCCAAGAGCTTGGCGGCCAAGTACAACTGCGTCGCTTGGATGCCTCTGTGAGGAAGCATGAGGAAGCACCCTGCAGGCTCCAGGCCTTCTCTTGCATCCATGAGGTGGTCTGCATCTCCGGTGCCGTTGACTTCGTGGCCGCTCAGACCGCCCGAAGTGCTTTCTTCACCTGGCTTACTTCCCCTGAATCCAACAGAGGTCAATCCCACCGGACAAGTCTCGAGTTGCGAGCATGGGGTAGAGTGGCCTGTCTGCAATTCGCCAAGCTTCGGTTTGGTTTGGTGGCTTCGTTTCGGGCACAGTCATTCACCCGAAGGCTGAGAGCTTGGCAGGGTTTTTGCATTCACTTCTCTTTAGGTTTCCAGCCTTCATAAGTCTGTGTCATCAGGGCAGGACACAGTCGCACATGACTGACACGACCCACCCGGCTTGAACAGTCAGCTTCCAGCCCCGTGGGTACAGGATGCTGACGAAGATCACGGCCGCCGGCTGTCTCGAACCTTGGCATGCACTTGAGGTGCAGCCCGGAGCTGGAGTTACTGGTATGTTCATGCTGGCTTCGGGTCAGGTCTCTTCGATAATCGCAGCGTTTCTGGCGGCCAAGCCAAGCGCCCGAATCCAAGAAAGCCCTGCGTTCTGTGCTCTGATCAGTCCGCTGCCAGCAAGACGTCGCTTGAAAACTGTAGAACTCATGGGACACGTCACGCCGAATCCGCACTGACCTCCTTCATCCATCTTAATCCTCCTTGCCAGTGCTTCCATGTGGCTAAGGGGTTTTCCGACGCGGAGGCAGCTCTGTACGCGCTGCCGGGCAGAAACGGAATGATTGACCTTGATGTTTCGGCACAGCCGGGTCTTGTTTGAGGGTCTTCCACAGGAAGTCCTGTCCAGAATTGGTTCTATGCCCTTGCTCTTTCAGGTTCATCTACTTTGGCATTTGCTCAGAGGCGTCTTGCCATGAGCCAGGAGTGCCTGAAATCGGCGAGTGCCAGGGTCAAGCGGAAGCAATTTTGGTCTGCCGAGGCAGCGAGTCAGACCAGCAAAGGGCCAGGTTCGCTCAGGCTGAACTTGCTCCCTGGCGGAAGAGAGAAGACTCAGAGCTCTTGTAGAGAGCTTTAGCTGTCCTCTCCTGGGGCTCGTCTTCGCAGGCTTGACCAACTCTACAATTTTGACCTGGAGCAGTTGGGTGACGATGATTGAGGCACTCTGCCGCCTCTGCCTCTGCCTCCGCAGGGAGGGGGGGGCCAAGGGCCAAGACATGACAAGACTTTAAATCAGGTGCAAGGGTAGGCCGGGTAGGCATGGCTGCCCCAAGCGTTCTTGCCCCGCTCTACCTGCACAAGTGCCTTTTCAGGAGGAGAAGTCCAGGACTCCTGGTGGCCAAGTGCCTGTTACTAGTGGACTCGTTGCTAGCTGATGACAACAGTGACAGAAGACAGGCCATGCGATGCTGAAATCCTGTTGTATTCCAGAAGGCGAGATCGAAACCCTGATTCGTGCCAGTCCTGATTTAAGCCCAGCGGTTGGATGGGCCCTGACGAAATCCCTTACTGGCTGAATAGCTTCGGTGTTGAGGTTTGCTTTTGGGCTCTGATCGTCCAAGGCCCATTCGACAGCCCAGCCTCTGGCCGCAGGAGTACAGCTTTCCAAGTAGCAGCACGTAGGTTCCACGTGGTACCACGCAGCAGCTTGAGGTGACGGATATGCCAGATATGCCAAGGCCCAAGGCCATAGAAACAAGCTGTTGAGGACCAGCTTTGCGTGACTGGTGCACTTCCGTGTGGCGGTGAGACAAGAGCCCACCGCATGGTTCCATGGCCTCAGTGCACGTGCGGCCAGGGCCGCACCGCATGCAAACCCGAAGTCACAACAGATTTCTCTAGGGTGCAGAGACTCGTTCAGGCCACTCAAGCCATGCTGGCTTATAAAGCTAGAGCAATTGTAGTTGAAGGGGGGGAGCTTGCGTAAAAGAGCAAACGGAAGTAGAAGACGGGCATTGAACCGCTGGGAGCACTCACTGTACGGTGGAAGATGCTTGAGCACAGGAGCACTAGCCTGGCTTTGGCGTTGGAGATGCTCTGTAGCAGGAGTTCGGGACAGAAGTTTTGGGAAGGTTTGTGGGCATGCCCCTGCTGCAGCACGGATAAAAGCGGACGGCTAAACGCATGTTCGTAGCCTGAAAAAAGTGATAGTCTTCATGTTTTCGTGTCTGTCGTCCTCTGTCTTGCGCGGAGTTGGCAGCTCAGAGTTGGCGCCGGTTTAAGGCAGCTCGGAGGCTTGTGGAGTGAACCCTACAAGTCCTCCAAGTTGCAAATCTGACGACTGCTTACCAGAGATGGGCACCATTCACCAAAGCAACTCGTTGCTGGCCTCGGAGCGTCGGTGAAAGTGCCTGAACGCTGCTGAGCACAGGCTGCCGCAGCCTGTGCACCTCAGGCTGCTGTGCTAAATTCGTGGCAGGTTCCAGTTCTCACTACACTTTGAGCCTCGGAGCGAACATGGAGGTCTTTGTCAAACAGGCGACCCGCCGAGAATGCTTGCACAGGGGCAGCAGTGAAACTTGGTCCATGGTGCACCGTATTTGGTGCAGGTGTGCTGGTTGCTTCGGGTCGGAGTCCGGACAGCAGGCTCCAAGAGTGAAAGCTCTGAGTCACTTCGTGATCTTCGTTCAATCCTGCGCAGGACGCTGCCTCTGACATGCCGATGGCTCCGACGTATCGGCACGGCTCCTGGAAGATGTTCTGGGCCCATAGTTTCTCTGCAATGCACGTGCCGCTGCATCTGCTGCATGTGCATGCGGATTGCTTCAAGTATTCCAACCGTTCACAGCGGTATGCGCATGTCCCAAAGGCATTTCATGATTAGCAAAGCATGCTAGCGGCTAGCGGCTTGGTTCTCGGTTTTTCTACAGCACAGGCTCTCACACCGTTGAAATTCCTGGCATCTCGTCCTCCATGCCGGCAGCTGAGTTTCCAGCCGGTTAGCATTCCGCGACAAGGTGATGCAAATCTGAATGCTGCGAGGTACCACGCGTCTGCAGACGATGTGGGAATCGGGCTCAGATCTGAACATGCAGTGCTTGGACACCGAATGCCGCTCTGCAGTCTGCGAAGTCTGTCTGCTGAGGCATGCAGATTCTCTGCCTCGCAGAGGCCGAGCAGAATCGCGGCGCCTTTGGTGTGGCCGGGGGCTCCGCGACAGCATGCGACAGCGACAGCTCACCTGTTAAAGCACGGGCCGCTCTGAGGCCCAGAGTTGCATCGGGCCCTTCGAGTTGGATCCCATCACTCGGATGAGTCTGGAGCGATGGGCTCGGAGCGACATGGACTAGTGCAGAAGTCCCGCCGCGAGGAGAACATCGTTTCCTCCGGGGCGAGCCGCTTTCCCGCTGGGAGCTCATTGGATGTGCTGAGATCTGTGTCTTCCTCGCCATGGGCCTCTAATTGCAATCGTTACAAGAGTCCTGTTTCTCACAGCGGGCTTGGCTTCCTCGGATTCCTTGCATTCTACTGACCGAGGTGCGACACTTCAGGGACCAGAACGATCCGCATCCGCGTGGGGCCAAGTTTGGAAAAGAGAGGGTGTCGGAAGACTACGTGACTACGTCGGCGAGGGCTTTCGATTCATGTCAGAATATGCTATGGTGCGTGAGAGGTTTTGCTTAGTTGATTCCGCGCATATTTTCAGCGGCATCCCCAAGGCGCGATCTGCAGATCCATGTGACGCAGGACAACTGCAGGGATGGCACAAAGACTAGCATCGCAACCTCTCTGTCTTTGAAGCGATCGGCATCGGGAGGACCACGTGAAAGTCGTGCATCCCGGAGCCGAGAGAGGAAGCAATGAGGTGCCTTGGTTCGGAAGGGACAGAGACGAAGCGTCAGAGCCGAAGACAGTGCCTTCTCGTCCGCTGAGCAGCAGGTCATGGCACCCTATTCTGCCGACTTTCCCAAGGCTGCGGAGGGCAGTGAACAGCGGATCAAGGGCGAGTCCGGCCCCTCAGCTGTGTGGTTCAGGTGATCATCCACCCAACCGACACCTGCAAGTTCCGGCTGGAGCTCAGCGAAGAGCAGGCCGAGCCCCCGAAGACAAAGTCGTCTTTTGCATTGCGGAGCAGAGCCAGGACAAAGTCTTCCACTTCGTGGCCTTGTCCAGGCCAGGCGGGGGGCGAGGTCGATCTGTGACAGGCACCTTCACATTGTGTCAATGCAAGGACTAGTTCAATGAACGAGCACCGACCAAAAGCACAGTTCGCTCCTGTAAGTGTCAAGCTAGACATTGTTCAAGGAAGACTACTGCATAATCCTCGAAAGCAGACCAGCGCAAGGACGTCTCGGGATCTGATCGCGCTGCTCATCAGAACGTTTCATGCCGGACCCATAAAGTGAATGCTGTACCAAGTACTAAGTACCACAAGACATTCCACAGCGTTCAGATTCACAAAAGAGTATAAGTGGTAGCTCGCAATTCCGCCTTCTGAACTTACCTACGCCGGTTTTAGATCCCACTTACATGTTCCTTGCTATGCTCAGGCTCGACAGTATGTGGCGACGTCCTTCGTGCTGAGTAGGCAGAGGAACTGAGGTCTACATGACTTGATCAGTGGCATGTGGCTTGCCAAAGTGATGGGGTAACATATGTCCAGGTTCACGGCCATCTCTCCCTAATGCTGGCCCAGGCTTTATCAAGATCCCGCACGGCCGGGAGCTGGATCCCCAAGCTCCGCGTAGGCCCTCGCCACGATGGTGCTCTGGGAGCATAGATGCCGTTGGTGAAGTGCGGGGTTGGAACATTTGATTCCGAGTGTCCTCGTGGTTCCTGCCGCTGAGTTCTGAACAACGTCGGCCAAGGCTCCATTGACAACGGCACTCTTGCAGGCCCGATTGATGAGCACAGCGCTGTAGCCGCTGCAGCCGCGCAGCCGTGCATCCAAAAGGCAGTCGCCTGGCACACAGGACTTCGACCTGCAGCGGCTTGGGGACCGGCTCGGGAAGGATCGGGATGCACGACAAATCAGCGTACGAGAAAAGTCATGGTAGAGCAAGGCGGGTCGTGCCAGAAGCCTTCTCAAGCACCGGTACCTGGACCACCCTGAGCGAAATCTGGGTGATCGCTTGCGTAGGAGCTGGACCGAACTGTCGGGCAGCTGGAAGCAGTCGAGCTGCGCTGGGCACGCTTAAGATATCTTAAGATGCTTAAGCCGAATTGAATTCCCATGTGTGGGTTTCGCGACGGAATGATTCGATTGAAGCGAGAGAAAGGGGAAACATGGGTATGGTTGCACCGCAGCCCAACCTGTGTCGCTTTTGGGCCAGGAGGGTGGTGCGCACCTCCAACAACGAGAAGAGGGAGCTGCAGGCGTTTCGACTTGTCTCACCCGTGGCCCCGGAGCTCAGAGTGGGAAGAGTGCATGTCTGCAGGCTCAGCTGTCCGAGACCATCGGAAGCTACACGGAGGCAGCAGTCTGAAGTCCAGCAAAGCGGTTAGGTGTCCGGTTTTGACCTGAGAGGCTATCGAGCAACTCCACCAGCAGCTGGCGCCGGCTGCCAAGGCATCAGGATCGTGGCGCTCGACATGGCCTGGTAGAAGCCTGGACGCTCACTCATCAGGGTGGAATGGTCGCTGCTCTGCAGCTTCAGATCCACGACGGCCGTGTCTGGAACACAGAAGCCGTGCCGTTTGGTTCCTGTCGCGATCATGAGACATTTGGGGCTGAGCGGTGGAACTCCAAGGCCTTGCACAGCAAGCTACAGCTGGAACTCCAGGAGCTGAGGTGCAGAAGCTGCCTTCTGTCTAGATTCTGCAAATATGCGCCGTCATGGCACTAAATCTGCTTGAGCTTTTCGAACTTTGGAAGACGTCGGGAGGCAGCGGCTAGATGAAGAGCAGCGAGCAACAGGCTTTGCATGGACTTCTGGTCCTTCGGACAACGTTGCAGTCGCACTGCGATTCACACGGGGTTTGGACTGCGATGCGCAATACGATGCGCACCGCATGAGAGCGGAGGCCCCTACGGCAGCGACGGCCCAGCTGCGCAGATGCGGGCCACTGCCCCGAGAATGAGAGCCGAAGAAGCGCTGCTTCACCTGCTCTATACAATGCCATACTTGTGCCCCCATGGCGGTTTGCCAAGGCACGGACTGTGGAGACCTATCGGGCTGAGATCGCGAAGCTTCGGGCACAAATCAGCCGCAGCCCCAGGTGGCAGAGAGGACGCGGCTGGATGCGTTCTGGCTTATTGATGGCTTGAGAGTCCCCATTTCTTTTTGATCCTAAAGTTTTTATTTTTTTTATTGATCCCTTTTTATTTTTTT